TCACTTTTCGCCGCTGGCGAGCTCGAACCTTGCATATCCCTGATACATACTGCACACTCACTTGTGCAGTGTATTCTTTTCATGCGCGAGGTGGAAGCCTGATACTTTTGCTGCAGAAATGTGCACGGGTTTGAAGTTGGAGGTTATGATGACTTGATGTTCCGTATGTCTTAACCACAATAGTAGGCGACGAGCAAGCAACTTACACGCAGCACGCCACACGGCCAGCTGTACGCATAACCATGACATCACGCACTACTTTTATCCTGTCGCGTGGGCCGATCCGCTGTTCAGTACTGCTCTACTCCGGACGCGTACCAAAACGCACCAGGACCTGTCCAGCCAGGTCGCGCAGCGAACGTACTGCTAACATGCCCGGAACGTGCAACGTGCGCATCACTTATCGAAGAACGGGTGATGATAAGGAGCACCAAACTCACAACTCTGCAGCTTCAGTTTCGCACTTTCGAATGGCAAAGATGGGCTGGAGGTGTGAGGTGAGCAGTCTTGTGCTCACTTCTGTGAGTACAAGACTGCTCACCTCACACTGCCACAGATCTTCCCAGTTGCGAAGGGGAATCTCCCGAATGAAGCTTTTCTGATTGAGGAAACTTTGTATTCTACTTGTCCACTGTTTACATCTCAATATCAGATCCCAAGAATGATATCCGTCTCACTCACCTTGGAAATAAAACGAAATTCTCCTGGATTTATGGTATGGTTGAAACTATCGTACTGAATTGTCCAGGGCAGTGGCCACACACCTCCTCTGAAAACCACTGCATCTATATCTGTACAGCATCTGTACAGCCACCATGGGAGTAATCTGGAGGGTAACTTCAGCGCAGTTCGGCTTGGTGGGGGCATTTTTCTAGTTCCTATCGGCCATTGCATACGCCTCTTGTGAAGACCTGTAAACTCTCATAAAGCAATGCAGGAGCACGAGCTTCGTTCACACTGAAAAGTTCCTATAGATTCTATAGTTATAGTTTTTATATTCTATAGTAGTTTCTATAGTTTCTATAGACCAAAGTGAGACGTGCACATCAACAGGAGCCAGTATAAAAGACTAGCGAAATGGGAGAAGCCTCCATCTTCACCCCCCTAAGCCGAACAGCGCCGTAATGTCTTAATCCAGAGTGTCGGTTAACACATATTAGCTGAAGGGCACAGGCTAGCTGGTTCTTTCTTTATTTGGTTTTCCTCAGCCTTCGCATGAAAATGTAGTTCTCGCTACTGATATAAGCTAATAAGATTTTTTAGCAAGTAAAAAAATTCGCAAAATAGAGATCAACATAGCCTTGTGGTTTGTAGAACGGGTACCGGCCCCTAAGGGTCAATGGCCACAGTAGATGAGTCCCCACGTGGGCTCCAGTGAGCATTTGTGGGAAATCCTGAAGCCATAGGGAAGGGATCATCCCTCATCAAAGATAAGCTGAAGCTGCTCCGCAAATGCGAAGAGAAAGCGGGTCGAAAACTTCTAAAACTTCTAAACACATTTGGAGGCCTCATAAAGCCAGTAGGGGAGGGGGGTTGGGGGCGCTGCCTGAGTACTACGCATTTGTTGCCCGTCCAATGGTGAAGCTGATTCTCCGATTCTTTCCCCCCAGATCCGAAACTTGATTGACGTAATCCAGCGACTTTTCAATGGCTATCGGTCATTGGTTATCTCTCAATGCTTGTGAGGCAGTTCGTGTCTGCCGGGAACATTTGTGGAACCCAGCACGAGAACAGAGGTGTCACTAGAGAACTCAACCAAAGAA